CACCATTTGAATAAAATATCAGGCTTGAAAGTTTTTTATAATCATATTTTTTTACTAAATTTTTATCGTAAATTTACCTTTTTCTCTAAGTTCATCTCGAACTGTTTAACAGTCCATATACCACGAGCCGTCTCATGGCATATTTACAGTACTTGCTATTCAAAGTACATGCGCAAAAACTTGAACCACGTGGTACAAAACCATGAATGAAATGACAACTAAAAAATTAAATTTTGCTCGTGTAAATACTACCTTATTCTGGTTAATTGCTTGTCTTAAATTTCTTATCATGAAGTTCATTATTTGGCAAATTTGGACAAAAATATTTGACAAAAGAATTTCTGCAAAATACTCACCGTGGGCAAACCTTGCTTTAAAAACTGAAACATTTCTTCTCTTGATATATGTCCATCAGAATTTATATCATAAATTGTGAAACAAACTAAAGAGAACTAATTATAATGTTCGGAAATTTTACAGGCAGCCCTTTCAGCCAATGTCCCTCGAAGGAAAATTGATAGGCCTCTGACCCACTCTTCTTGTGTCATTAAGCCATCGAGACGCTTATTAAATGCTCTAAAAACTAAAAAATGAACAAATTTTGTGCCAAACTCCTATCGAGAATAATGTCATCTGTCATGTTAAAAGTTTTATGAAGTAGTGCACGGAATCGGTTCCTGTCTAATTTTTCCGTTATTGAGTTATTATTTATTTCAGCAAATATTTTAAGAAGCATTTCGCATTCGGACCTAGTGACTACCGAGAAGTTAGCATGCTCAATTTATTACACCATGTTTCCTTGGAAAGTTGTTCCGATAAAGCTGACAAATACTTCGCTGCAAATATTTTTGCCATTTTTGTAATGCACAGACGCTGTAACTGTATCGGAAGGGTATTTTGAAAGGTTCAAACAAACCTGATGAATAAAACGTCGAGTTTTGAGCAGGCAGCTTGATCGTTTCTAAAGTTTTTATAACTAACAACGAGTCAAAAAAAGACAAAAAACAGGCAGAAACTCATTTCACCGTTTTTAAGCTAACGTGATTGCAGGAAATATACTATTCTTAAAGAACCTTATGTGTGACAGGTATCACGTCAGCTAACATGAATGTATAAAATAATAGAAATGAAAAGCTCTAAACGGGACATTTTTACAACGGCAACAATCGTTTTTCAAACTTATATAGCGCATTCAATTTATGCCCACATTACATCGACAAAGAACTGGCAGTTGTTCATTTACGAATAAGACCCGACAGCCTGAAAGCAGTAACTGCTCGTCCAATCCATAAAACGGGCTTTCGTAGGGAAGATTCTATTTAACGAACGCGTGTTATACGACGAGAGACAAGCTGCGCGTGCCAATTTATCGCAGGGGTTAAGTGAGTTAAGCCCTAGCAACTGCGATCTACAGACCGTGG